CAGGCCCGCGTGGAGCGCATGGAACAGTTCCAGAAGGAGAAGGAGGAGCTGGACAGGGGCTGCCGAGAGTGCAAGCGTAAGGTGGCCGAGTGTCAGCGCAAGCTGAAGGAGCTGGAGGTGGCCGAGGGCGCCAGCAGTCAGGCGGAGCTGGAGAGGCTGCAGGCCGAGGCGCTGCAGCTGCGCAAGGAGGAGAGGAGCTGGGAGCAGAAGCTGGAGGAGATGCGTAAGAAGGAGAAGAGCATGCCCTGGAACGTGGACACGCTCAGCAAGGACGGCTTCAGCAAGGTGCGCGGGGGCAGCGCTGCAGCGGAGGGCTGGGGGGTAGAGGGTAGGTGGGGGGGCGGGGCCGAGGATGCACCCCACCCCACCCGCACCCCCTCTGATCTGCCCGAAGGCCCTAGTCCGAGGCCACACCTGCCACACCCACGCGCCCGCCTCCTTGACGCTCTTGGCACCGTCACGACCTCTGCCGCTGATGGGATGGGCGCTGCGGCCTCGGCCCAGCCGGCCGGGCTCAGGGCGCCCCTCGGCGGTGAAGCCCCAGCCCACTCCCCCTCTCGCCCCACCACAGAGCATGGTCAACACCAAGCCAGAGCAGGCAGAGGAGGACTCGGAGGAGGTGAGGGAGCAGAAACACAAAACCTTCGTGGAGAAGTATGAGAAGCAGATCAAGCACTTTGGTGAGCTGAGTGCAGAGGTGTCCTGTGGGGGAGAGCTGGACCCTCCCGCCAGGGCCCTTCCAGCTTCTGCCAACCCCTTCCCGCAGGGATGCTCCGCCGCTGGGATGACAGCCAGAAATACCTGTCGGACAACGTCCACCTGGTGTGCGAGGAGACGGCCAACTACCTGGTCATCTGGTGCATTGACCTGGAGGTGGAGGAGGTGAGTGCAGCCTGCCTCGGGGCTGGGGGACAGCTCCACGCAAAGACTGGCACCTGGTGACATGGTGCCCGTTTGTCCCCTGCAGAAATGCGCCCTCATGGAGCAGGTGGCCCACCAGACCATCGTCATGCAGTTCATCTTGGAGCTGGCCAAGAGCCTCAAGGTGGACCCCCGTGCCTGCTTTCGGCAGTTCTTCACCAAGATTAAGGTGCTGAGCGTGGCCAGGGGGGCCCCCTTTTCTGGAAACTGACTGTAGTCTGTGGGGGGGAGGCATCCTTGAGTGTCGCTGTCCAGCTCAGGTGAGCAAAACCTCTCATAGCAGAAGAGGGGGAGCCATCGGAGGCCAGAAAGGGGCCTGGACAGGTAGACCAAGGAGGGAGAGATAGAATCGGAATGCCTTCGTGCCAGGAGGGCCCAGTGGTGGGGACTGAGGGCAGGGCAGTTAAGGGGTGATTAGGAGTTCTCAGGGTGCTGTGTGACCATCGGGCCAAGCCGTTAAGACAAGAGTGAGAAGAAGGGCAGCCGGAGTCCTGAACACACCGTTCTTTGGTTTGGGACTAGACTTGGGGAGCACAGGGGGCAGCCCGGGTCACTGAGCTCCACCTGCCCTCTGCAGACAGCTGACCGCCAGTACATGGAGGGCTTCAACGACGAGCTGGAGGCCTTCAAGGAGCGAGTGCGTGGCCGCGCCAAGCTGCGCATCGAGAAAGCCATGAAGGAGTACGAGGAGGAGGAGCGGAAGAAGAGGCTTGGCCCTGGCGGCCTTGACCCCGTGGAGGTCTACGAGTCCCTCCCTGAGGTGCGGCCGTGGGCCCGAGTGGGTGGGCGGTGGATGGGGCCCCCGGCACGAAGACCCAGGCTCTGACCCCAGCCCCTTGACGCCCCAGGAGCTCCAGAAATGTTTTGACGTGAAAGATGTGCAGATGCTGCAGGACGCCATCAGCAAGATGGACCCCACCGTGAGTAGCCAGGGCCCAGGCCCCCATCTGCCATCTGGCCCCCCCCCCACCTGCCAGCCCCTCAGGCAGGCTGGCAAAAGCACCACAGTTTCGTAGAGGAGAAAGGTGCCTGGCACGTGTCCCAGGTGTCCCCTGCCACCGTGACCATCAGCACAGCCTGAGGGACTGCCACGCTGAGGCCGAGCCCTGGGGACTCACAGGGGCCTTCTCAGCCCGCTCCCCTCTCCAGGCCACGGTTTCCCTGTGTGATGTTTGGGAAGGCGGAGTTCCTGGGTGTGCAAGACACCTCTCAGCTGCTCAGCAGAATTTCAGGGCTCAGTAGTGGAGACGGACACCCATGGTATTTACTGTTCTACAGCGAAAGTCTACTGGCCTCTGTTCCAGCATTTCCACGGTCACAGGAGGCTCTCCTGGACAGCTGTGTTCTAGAAGGGGCCGTCAGCAGCTCAGGATGTGTGGAAATGAGCTCTCCGGCCCTCAGTGCACAGGGAGCCCTGTGGCCACCGGGCAGCAGTAACCCCGCCTCATCCACCCACCTCTCTCCCCACAGGATGCAAAGTACCACATGCAGCGCTGCATCGACTCTGGCCTCTGGGTCCCCAACTCCAAGTCCAGCGAGGCCAAGGAAAAGGAAGAAGCAGGGCCTGGGGACCCCTTGCTGGAAGCCATCCCCAAGCCAGAAGATGAGAAGGACGTTAGTGCGTGACCTGCCTCCGCTACTGCCCGCCTGCCTGCAGGCCCCTGCGCTCCCCTTTTCAGAAAACAACAATAGATACCATCTCCCCAGTTCGTGGCTTCTCCACTTTGCTGCTCCCCAGCCTAGGGCTGGTGGGGGGAATGGGAGACACCTCACCCTCCCTCCCTCCTCCTGCACCCTCTCTCCCCCACAGTACTCATCCAAGTCTGCTTTGAGTCAAGGGGCTTCATTGCCTGCAGCCCCCCACCCCACCCCAATCAGCATTATGCCAAAGGCCCGGGGGTCCAGGGGGGGGCAGAGGTTGCCAGGTGAACCAGGGGTAGTGGAGGGTCCCCCCGCCAGGGACCTGCTCCAGTCACTGAGCTCCGTTCACTGTTGGTCTACTGTTGAGTCATCTATTCCGTAAACAGCCATGATCTTTAAATAAAGGATTTCTGATGCTGTTGGGGCTGTGGTGGGCAGTCTGTGGTTTTCCTAGGGGTGGACAGGTGGCAGGATGATGGACCCGGGCTGGCTGGTTGACGGGGCGGGGCTGATGGACAGGTGGATGGGGTGGTCTGAGGGACAGAGAGCGGGCTGGCTGGTTGACGGGGTTAGAGTTGTTTTTGGTGGTGTTTTTTCCCCCCTGCTTCTTTTAGGCTGAGTTCTCTGGAAAAGGTTATACGTAGGTTTACAGTGTGTTGTGTGTGTATACATAGTACACATAGTTTAAAGAAGAAACGGTTTAAGGTTGTAGAACATGGCAAGTCCATGCTTCAGGCTTCAGCAGTGAGGCGAGGAGGCTGCTGGCTCAGCCTCAGGGCCTGGTGAACTCAAGGCTGCGGGGCAGGGGCCGGCTGCTGGCTCACAGCTGTGGGCCTGACGCACCCAAGATCAGCTGGCCATGAGAGGCACAGGCAGGATCCAGGGCCCACAGAAATGTGGGTGTTTGCCAGAGCGATGTATGTGTCTGATGCAGGTCACACCACTGAGGAATGGACCCCTCTCCTGGAGATGGCTATATCAACGTGTAAAATCTCTACTTCACAGGCCCTGAAAGGCCACTGGAGGGTGACTGGGTGGGTTCTGGCTAGAGGACAATGAGTATAAATAAACGAGAGAATTTTGACACAGTCATCACCTTTGGCCCCCGGAACCGCTTACACCTCCTATTCCACATCTCAGCGTCTACTGAAGACCACCATCCTTGACTCTCACCTGCCACGTGGACACTGCTCAGGACATGCCTGAAGCTGACCACTCCTCGGAGGCCCTCCCCACCTGCCTGTGCCCTTCCATGCTAGCGCCATGGGCCTCCTTGCCATTCTCAAGCATTTCAGGGTGTATTATTGGTGTGGCAGTTTACTGTTAGTCTACCCCAGGGTCGTCAGGATACCAAGCGTGGTGCCCTTGTCCCCCCCGCCACCCAGGCGTGTAGTGGTTAAGAACTAGTCCAGCACACCCGTGTCGCCATGTGGGCCTCGATGTTTCCCCAGTCATCTGCCTGCAGCCTCTTAACCTCCCGGACATCCCGTGGGTATGTGTGGAGTCTTGAGCAATGCACGCTTGGACTGTTTGGATCCACTTCAGGATTTTTATTGCTGTTGCCAGAGCTCAAGTGTTGAGAGTATCGACACACTTAGAAACACCATGTGCTGCTGGTCCTCTCCATGTGAGAGTGCTCTCCCATGTACATCAGGAACTGCCCATGGGGCTGTGCTCACCATCACGCCCCTCGCTGCTGGACAGTGAATAAGGATGACAGGAAGAAACGGTGCCTTTGAGCTGTGGTGGTGCACAGGAGCACCATACATCCCGGGGGTTTCAAAGGAACAGATCTTGGAAAAGGTACAACTGGAGTGCTCCTTGAGGCGATGACGACAAAGTTTGACCTCACGTGCTCTGGGCACGTTGCTAGGAGAGGGCTGTGCTTGGAAAGGCGGAGGGTCAGCAAAAGACCCTCAACAAGATGGATTGACCGTGACAACTGCTGCAATGGACTCAAGTGTGTCCAAGATGCTGAGGATGGGACAGGGTTCAAATCCATTCACAGGGCCCTCCAGTTGACCACCTAACAGCAACAGCTCACTGCAGTGGCAACTGGGGACAAGCCGTATTTAACTGAGACCACACAGTACAAGCCCACATTGTTTAAGGTAAATCTTACACAGATTTTTTTTTTTTTTTTTATGTAAGCAGGAGTGGCATCCACGTCCAAAATGGCTTTCCTCTGGAAACTCTATGTATAGTACTCAGGCCTTCGTTCATGGAGTTACAATGAGTCGTCTGTGACTCCACGCCACCTAACAACAACCACCATCAAATTGGATCTGACCAGTACAGGAGGAGATTGCCCCTCCTCCAGTAGAGCATCTGGTGGATTCGAACCATGCACCCCTGGGATTGCAGTGCGGCTTCTTGCCACTAGACCACCAGAGCTCCCCTACACAGATGTTCAACTTTGAGGGAGGTTGCCACCCCTAAACCCTCCTCCCCTGTATTGTGTGAGGGTCAGCCACATGACTACTTCACTCATTGCAGTCAGATTGAAACCCACGCAGAATGGACCCTCTGAGTTTCCGAGGCTGTAAACCACGCAGGAGAAGGTTGTCCAGCTTTCTCCCCAGGAGCTGCTGGTGGACACGAACTCCCCGCAGACCTCAGCCCACCGGAGCTTTCCTGGTGTTCCAGCCACAGGAGAAGGTTGGAAGGGGAAGCAGTGCCCTCCTGAAGGCACCCATGCTCTGATGACTGCTTGTCACCTCCTCCGTATGGCCGTCCCTGATTGGCACCCTCACACCCAGCCCCTTGGCTTGCCTCACCGCAAATGCGCCAAAACTCTGTGGACTTAAGTACCGCAGAGCCCCTTAACTGAGCCTCACTGTGACACCAATCAAGTCTTCTGTTCCTGCCACCCCCTCGGTGCCCAGAAGGGGCCCTGGCTCACAGCACACCCTCAGCAAACACTAGCAATGGACTGAACAACCAACCTAGCTGCTGTCTAGTCCATCCAAACTCGTGGCGAAGAGCTGTTTCAGAGGGGAGCCCCCTGGCTTGATAAGCCTCAGTGTGGGTTTGAACCTGCACCTTTTGGTTGGACCCAGGAGGGGACTCCAAAGGATTGACTTAAGGGACCCAGGATGCTAATGTATTCATGCTGATCACCACCAGGGGGCAATAGCGAGCTGAAAAAAAACCCCGTAGCTTTGCCTGACAGTCTAGTTGCCATGGATTCACCGCCAACACGTGGTAAACCCCCGTGCTTTGAGAACAGTGCTCCTAGGGCTTTGAGAATAGCTCCTTAGGATCTGAAGGAGGGAGGACGTCCAGAAACCCGGATAAACCTCACCCACCTTCCAGGACTGTTAATTCGTTTCTGAAATCGTTATTGCCATTTTTTTCTTTTTCTTTTTTTTATTAATATTTTTATCATTCATATGCATTGAGTTCCATGCATGTACATTTTTTTTAATTTTTTTATTATTTCAATGACAATTTACAGAGACTTTGGGTTTCCATTCATTCATTGTTGCACTTTTCTTCCCTCCCAACCTTCCCTACTAGTACACTACCCTCTTGGAAAAGTAAAAGAAAAATTCTTTCTTTGTTTTATAGTCCCTCCCCCCAGGTCCACTCCACTATGCAGCCTTTGCTCTGGACTCCTGTCATGACAAACATACCTAATCACATATCCCTTTTAAACAGTTTTCTCCCTCATCTGTTTCAATGCAGTATACATTACTGAACCCATCTTTCTCAGTCTCCCCCCAATCCCGATGTCAGTCCTGTTTTACAACAGTGGCACCATGCAGTATTTATCCTTTTGTGACTGAGATACTTCACTCAGCATAATGTCCTCCAGAGTCACCCATTTTGAATAATATTGCATGAGGTCTTTGTTTTTCAATGCAGCGTAGTATTTCATTGTGTGAATATACCACAGCTTCTCTATCCATTCGTTTGTTGATGGGCACTTAGGTTGTTTCCAACTCCTTGCTATTGTGAACAAAGCCGCGATAAACATGGGTGTGCATTATTGCCATTTTTTTAAAACAAAGAATTGGTACGTCCAATGCCTCCTTAGTCCCAAGCTCTGATGCACCTCAGCTGCACTGATGATTCTGCCTTCATTTAAAATTGTTAGAACTGACTCACAGCTGACCCTCCAGCGGGTCTTCAGAGGCAGTTTAATCTCACAGAGGGAGAGTTTTCCCTGCTTTCTACTGAGGAGCAGCTAGTGGATTTGAACCATGTGCCTTTGCGTTGGCAACACAACTCCCTATTACTAAATTAACAGGACTGCATCATTTATAGTCGTTATTGTGTGAGTGGAATCCTAACCGATCCATAGCTGATCCTCCAACAGATTTTCAGAGGCAGTTTAACTGTGCAGAAGGAAAGCAATTGCCCACGTTTCTCCTGCAGAGGAACTAGTGAATTCAAACTGAGTGCCTTTGGGACTGTGGTGCTGCTTTCTTACTGCTCGGCCACCAGCTCTCCCAGTTATAACTAGGATCTTTTATTTGTCATAGATTTTTGGTTTTTTAAAAAATTCCTTTTATATTTAAAAAATATTGTATTATTTGTCTTGATTTCTGAATTTCTTAGCACCCTCTTTGCCTGAAGGAAGCTCTGGTGGCCCATAGGGAGTTGTGTTCTCCCCAAAGGCCTCATAATATTCTTGTAATCTACGGTCCCAGAAATCCACTTGAGGGTCAGCTATAAACTGGTTCTGATTTCACAGCAGTGAGTTTTTCTTCACCTGATCTCTCATTAAGCTTATTAAGCAGCAAACAGGTGAACAGTAAATCATCTCTTTCACCATCCATCCTCCATTACCTCAAAGCACACACAGGACACCATTGTAAACAGGCTCTCATCATTCCATCCAGGGTTTCATTTGTAAAAACAAATCAACTCTTACCCCTCCGTTTCCTGGCGGTCTGCGTCTAGAAAGAGAATAGCCAAGCAAACCCTCTGAGGCTGCATTCTAGTCTGTCACGCAGGGTCTCCACGAATGGGCATCATCTTGACTCACTGGAGTTTGTTTTCTGGTTTCCCCCCCAGTTTGTACGGATGTAGCTCCTACTGCAGGCTGTCATGTGTCTAGTCACTGAGCTGT